AAAAAGCACTTGGGCAGTGAAGGGCCCAAGTGCTTTTCTTACTCACTTGGGCAGTGAATCACGAGCTTACGTAACACGGTCCTAAAAGTGCTAAATCTCAATGCAAATGAAGCAAAATTGTTTTGATTTAATTGAATGAATTTTTCGTTAACTTTTTGAATTAAGGCAAGAGATAAATAATATGGAAATCTCCATTCAAGAAAAATTTAACGCTCTACAATTCCATGGTCAACGCCATGATTATGGTATTGATATTAGCTTTAAGCCCAGTGCCACCTTTTTCCCCCAGGTAAGCCTGATATCTGTTGATTTGGAGCTGGGCGAGCTTCATGCCGGAACTTAGGTATCGAACCCCAGTGTTTCACAATAACAGCTACGTGCATTAACCACTAAACAATCGAGTCTCAGTTCTAATGGTTGAATTCACCATGGCTAACAATGAGGACTTTGCTTACATAGAAGTTTTCAACGAAAAATAAAAACTCATTTAAGGTGTAGATTTACAACTTGTTTGACAAGCTTAGGGTTAAAAGAAATAGAAATAAACTGATTTATTCCATTTAAATTGGCAAAGTATATATAATTTAACATGTTAACTTTTTTGACAAGTTTATTAATCCCTGTAATAAACCATCTGATAATTACGTTAAATTTACTGCATATATAAGTTTTAATGATTAGAGAATAAAAATTACGCAATGTTTGAAACCTATCTCCAAGAGGGAGGCTGTACTGCACTCCTTTATGTTGCTTCTATTTTTGTCTTAAAAGCTTTAACGTTATTTTGCTACAAACTGTTTTCTTTTAAGAGTTGCAACAAATGAGATACCGCATTCTGTAATTAGTTCGGGAAGTGTGCCAAACTGCTTCTTGAAAGAGAAATATTATTCCATTATTGGAATATTTTAGCAATGCTAAAAGTATACTTAACAGAAAAATAGCAGAACTTATCGACTGATATGCAAAAATCCCTCTTCTAATGACAAATAACGGAGAGACATTTTACTTTCACTACATTCTAATACATTTTTCAATACATATTCAATTATTTTTACATACTTCCTCATAGTTGTAATAAAATATTTTTTTAGTTATTTTCTCTAAACTAGTACTTTATAAACTACTAAATATTATTCTATAAACTATGACAAGATATGAAACGCTTTTTTTAATAAATTCTAGGCTGAATTAGGTATTTGGTATTTAAAATCAGGTTTAAAGTATATTGCACACAATCATGAATATAAATGATACGTACCTTTCATCATTTGCACATATGTGAGAAGTATATTAGAGATGGAATTTGTTCAACATTTTGTATCTTGATAGCGATAAGTAAATCGGTTTTGGGTTATTTTTCTGCCTTTCTTTGAAATATATTCATTAATTGTAGAAAAGCAGCATATAGTAGAAGCACTCTAAAGAATTTTTTTCTGTAATTAATTAAATATGAAACTTATTATTTTCTTGCTTTCTCTAATACTCAATTATATTGTTTATTTCCATGTTAATTATATTGTTTACTTCCATGTTACTTTTTGCTCTTTAATATTGCAATCTTAGCAGTTCAGGCAAAATGTTGGCAATTTTCTTTAAGAAATTTCTTTCTGGATATCATTTAAATGAATTTTTGGTCGCTATATATTGCTGTTTTGATTATGCACTTTTTTTCTTTTTAATTAAAATAAATGTTTTTCCTGATTGTGATTCACATTTGTATGAAGAACGAATCTGTTAATGCGTTTAATAATTACAGCTAAAAATTTCATAATCTGAAAACAGAATACAAACATGATATTTTTGCTAAAAATTACGATCTTTTAATGCAACGAAGTATTATATTTTACTACTATATTTGATAATATTATAATTTAAAAATTAAATACTAAAACAACTTTTGAAAGTTGTTATTTTTTGTTTATTACATATAAACTAATAACTAATTTTATTACTTATGTGGGGAATACTAACATAACAAATAAGAAAAGATTTCTTCTAACAAGTTTTTGTTCAATTATTCATCTACTGTTGAACAACTTATAAACTAAATATTTAATGTAGACTTATTAATTTCATCTTATTTGCAGAATGTAATAACTACTTAAGTATTTTAAATATTTTTCAACTATTTATAATTAAAAAAAATCGGTTCAATGTTGAAACTTTTTATCGGTGAAAGTAAAAAACGAGGTTCTCAGACGGTTTTTTATGGCTAGCTAGTGGCTACATTTAGAGCCTATCTTTCAAAGGTGGCATAATAACCTTTGCCATATTCATAAAAGCTACGATCAAGAGATTTGATTTCTGCCAAAAATATACTGGATCGTTTGATCCTCAACAAGGATCAAACTTAGAAGGTATCTTTCAAACCCTTCCAAGTCATTGACTTTCTTTGAGTCAACGGTTTTTTAGACCTAGTTTGACGTCGTCAGAATTTGGAGTATTAGTAACAACAGCAACAAGGATCCACAACTACGAGATCTACGGTATTATGATATCCAAGTTGTCAGAATTGTAAATCCCATCATCTTTTTTTCTTAGAAAAGTTTATACCGATAAATTTGAAGCTATCTTGGCATTAAATCACCTACAGAAATTGAACAATGGAAATACCCAAACCAGGCATCTAAGCCATTTTACCATCGTAGATTGTATTGGTTTCTTTTATGGATTGTTAAATTGAAGTATTGTTTAATTTAAGTTGAACCATAATTTTGGGTACTTCTTTTAGAAAGGATTTATTGATATGATAATATGTTTCACCTTGTCACATAAAAATTTGACAGGTTTGCAAAATAATGTTGATTCACTTCACACCGTATTAAGAATGAAGCGAATTCGTAAGATTATGTAATGCTCCAAAATTGTCAACATTGTATGAAAAAACCTATGCATTTAAGGATTTTCAAAATATTTTAAATCTAATTTATAAAATCATTAGCTTTTTGTTTAAGAATTGAATAAAAAATAATTTCAATGCACATCGTCATCAACCCTAAAATTAAAACATAAGAAAACTATTTTTTTTTAAATAATATATACTCAGATATTCTCCCTTTCCTTTCTACATTTTACAGGCATTAATTTTCGTTCTCAGAATTACTAAAATAGGAAATAAATCTTTCCTGTTTCATGCTCACATTTAATCACAGTGATTATTAATTCAAAAGTTGTTCTCCAAGTTTATGATTGATTTATAAAAGGTCCTTATGGTGATGAAGTGCTTAAATATCCATATGGAATGCACTGTTTCACTCCTTTCCAATAAAATGGTTATTCAGAACACTCGTATTTCTCATTAGCCAAAATGGAACAGTAGATTCCGAGAGAGATGTCAAAGTTAAGAGACCTGTTCTCCATGATCAAAGTGAACTCAGAATCATGCTTTATTTTTAGCAATATATTGGGAAAGAGTCCCATTGCTGGCCAGTGAATTGTAGTAGGAATAGAATGAACCTTTCATTATAGAATAAGAACGATATAATTAGGTTTCAGGCATGATGACACATATATTATCATTTAATACTTTTGTAACAAATCATAATTTAATGACCTAAATTTAAGTGAAAGTTTTCATGCTATTTATATATTTAACTTCGTATTTTTTTAATAAATAATTCTTTCATTGTCGTAATGTTTTGATTTAATAAAAGTTGTATATATTTAAATATCAATCGGGTAATATTTTATTAATGAAAAATACCTAAATATTTTAAGTATATTTTTAAGTACAGCAGTTATTTAAGTACATATATAGAAATTTGCGTATGAAGATAGTCTAAATAGGCTAAATTTGATCTACAATTTGGGATAAATCTCAGTCCAAAATAACTTAAAAATAAATCCAGTTTTAAAATCCAGTTTTGGTTGTTGAATAACTGTTAAAAAATCTTTTTAATAAATATTTAAAATATAGATGCTGAGAATAAATAATATATTTGCATTGAATTGGCCTAAGTTAAATAAGTATTATAAAATAATTGATGATATAATGATTGCCATCAGCTGCCAAAGTTCTTGTAAAATATATTTTTTCACATATAGTATCATATATATTTTGCCTGCTGAAAAACTGTTCTGTTGCACTTCAAGAAAAAATTTTAGAACTTTGTGTGCAAAAGCAATAATGCTTATTTATTTTTTGCTTGTTATACAAATAGAAAAAAAAACTCAAGTTTATAAAAAAATACCATAAGATATTTGTAAGGTATAAATATCGCATTGACAAAGTCTCTAATTATTCTCTAAAATGAAATATCAAAATAATTCTTGAGAGTTTTTTTTCTTCCCTTTGTTAACACTTAATTCAGTGTCATATTCACCTCGGTGGCTCAGCGATTAATGTTCTAAGTTGTCATTGTATAGAGTGAAGGTTTCTATCATAGCTGGTGATTTGAAGCCTATATAGTTTCAGATCGATTGGTATAGGCTTGCCTAGAAAGTACAGGATGCTGGGGAAAAAAGCTGAACATGTTGTAAAGATCATTCACTAGCCACCGAGGCTACGATCATGAAATTGTGAATCTAAGCCTTCAATACCGTTATCTTTCAACAATTTACTTCGGGAGTACTAGAAATTATTCTATCTTATTTTTTGCGGATGCCACATGATCTAAAATTTATGTTCCTGAATACGTTTGAAAATAGCTCAGAATAAGGGTTTTATTTGCCAATTGTTACTAACTAGCGTTATTTTAAATATCTGTATTTTCGAATACAAAGAAGTAATTACTTCTTATATTCTTTTTCATAGTAATATTTGCGATAAATTTTATTATTTTAATATATCCAGTTTAAACACTGTTATCAGAACTATTGAAATGAACGTTTGCTATCAGAACTATTGAAATGAAATTATTTCAGTTTTTTACATTTCAACAAGCATAGGAAAGCATGGATACAGATTGGCATGAGATGGACATACGAATACTTTGATAATTATTATATTAAATTTTCATGACAAGAATAATATAAAGAGCAGTTATTTTTAATTTTTTCAGGTGGAAAGTACAGTGTTTTTCCATCGGGCAAACTTCACATAAGAGATTCAAAACAACAAGATGGATTTAGAAGCTATCGGTGCCAAACAAAACATCGCTTAACGGGGGAAACAAAACAAAGTTCTGCTGGGAAGCTTATAGTTACTGGTAATAAATTAATTTTTCCTTATTTTATTTACATCATTATACTTATTTTTTATTCGAACTTTATTCAGAAAGTAGCTGAAAAATCGAGAGACATACAATATTTCTGCATTCTCTGTTTTAATGACGAGATGATTTTTAGTTCATACAATAGCTGTATCAATTAGCAACGTATAAAAAATATGAAATGAATAATCCTAGAAAAACTGAAGGGAAAAATAGATAATTGGAAAAAAAACTTTTTTTTCGGTTTCATACTTGAAATAAAAGTTGACATGTTTTGATGCTCATCGCCATTACGACATTGTTTTCATAATTCACATAGTGTCGTTCTAACAATGAGCTTCGTTTTGATTTACCCAAATGCCTTCCTGGACAAAATTTAGATTTTTTCAAATTTTAAATTCATGTGTGTTCTACATGCTAAAACATTTTATAAATATAAAAAAATTAAAAATACGTGGGAAGAAATTGCTCAAAAACAGCCAATAATTGACCCCTTTTCAAAAAACAAACAACTTGGTTAATTTTTTTCTCTCATTATTTTGACTTCATAGAATCTTCTTAGAAAATAGACTAAGCATTAGGCCTTATATTAACTGTTTGAGTCCCAAGCAGCGCGATCGTGCTATTGAGATTTTATGTCAAGAAAACCCAGTACACTTCAAGCATTGTGGACAACAGACGGTGCGTTACCAATTACTGATATCGTGTGCTCAGATTTACTGAAGCAAGTATACACAGCTCCTTTTAATGTAAATAATATATTTTACAATAGGTGGAATAATGCTATAATATTGCAATAACACATCACAAAATAAATTTTTTCATCTTATTGTTATCACTATCACTACCTTCTGAAGTACTCCAAATGCGTTGTATTTTGCACTTTATAGTAGTCATCCTCGTCAATAATACGATCACATAGATGTTCCTTTTCGATTCATTCTACCTTTTTGGGTATGCACCAAATTAAAAAAAAGTTAAATAGTAAATCTGGATTAATTTTTTTTAACCTTTTGCTTTGCTTCGTCTAATCATTTTGAAATACACAATTATTAGCAATGAGAAACACTTACGCAAGAATGCGTCCGATCGCTTTGCAATCAAAGAGAGAAAGACACGTTAAATAACAAATACAAGAAGCGCTATTGCTCCGATTGGGACTCATCGATGTAAAATAAAATAAGCGCTATCGAGCAGCTTGGGTCTTTTTGTACTCATTTAGTGAAAGCGCGGTTGCGCTATTTGGGATTCTTCGACAGTGTTTTTTTTAATTCCGTCTGGACTCAAAAGGTTAATATTTAGATATTTTACAGCAAATATAGAGCCGTATTTGGAATAAAAGGCCAAATTGAAATTAAATATTTTTATTTTAACTGTAAAATACAAAATAATAGTTTAATCCACTAGCCCGCAAACTATTCCCTAGACAAATGTACGGAAAACATTCATGCTAAATTTCACGTACTTTGAACTAAAATGTTTTATGGTATTTCATTGATGGAGAGAAAATAAACGAAAAAGTAGTTTTGAGAAAAAGAACAATAAGGAAACAAATATCAGTTTAATAACTAAAAGAGATAGTTATTAAATCCTCAAAACTTCTGTTCTACTTGACGAGGAAACAAAACTCAAACGGTTTACGAAAAAGTAAAGTCCATAATTTTATAACATTTAAAAAAAAGCAGGAAAATGATATTTTGGTCAAAATTGGATTCAAAAGGTAGTTAAGATCTGTAGACATAAAAAATTTCCTCGAAAAAAAAACAGTCGTTAATATAATTTTTTTTTAAAGAGTTAATAACAATAGTTATATTTAATTTTATATTACATTACATTCATTTTGTGTGTAGCGGGAAAAACTTATTGTAAATTATACTTTCAGAAATAATTTCCTTAATTTAACTTTTTTCTTCAGAATCACACAGTACAGTACCACCAAGAATAACACACAGAGAAGAGGAGGTGAAAGTACAATTAGGGGAAATAGCTTTTTTACCCTGTGCTGCAGAAGCATATCCAGTTCCCACGCATAAATGGTATAAACAAGAATCAGGAAGAACAACACCCATATCGTCAAGCCAAAGAATATTTCTTATGGGAGGAACATTAGTTTTCCGCAGAGCAATTGTAATGGACAGTGGAAAATACGTGTGTCTTGTTAATAATAGTGTGGGACAGGAAAGAATTGAGACAGATCTAGTTGTAGTGGGTAAGACTTTTCTGTCATTACCTTGTAAACCGTTCTTAAATTGCGGGGAATGTCAGAAGATTTCATTTTTGATTACTTGGTAGTGAATAATTGCCTGATACTAGTAGGCAATTTCTTACATAATTTCAATTATATTTACTTCTTCCAGAATTTCACAGAAGATACATTTTTGATTATTATATTATTTATGCTGTCTTAAGCAACATTTTTATATAACACATGCTAAATTTGTTAAGGCCGACCGGCTTGTGTAGGGGACAGGGAACTGTCTCTGCATCAGAAAGGTCCTGGGTTCGAATCCCGGACAAGGCATGGATGTTTCTTTCTCGTTCTGTGTTTTCTATGTCCTTTCTCCTTTGTGTGTGAATGTGTGAGAATGTGACCCGCCCTATAAACGGGCTGTGGCTGTGTGAATGGCGTGGCAGAAGTCGAATTCCTGACCATAGATGGCGCCACTGAAAAACAGGAACAATCGCACCCCCACTGCCTAAACAGGCATACTACCAAAAAAATGCTAATACAATTTGGTTTATTAATTTATTAGGTAGTACACATATTTAATTAGGTGAATAGTTTTACTTGCCTACATTAAGAAAATGTGCAGACAATATTTGTATAACGTGCGTATATTACCATACACAACTAAATCAAATGATTCAAAGTAAAAATGGACAACTAAGCTGCAAAGTAATCCGAATCAAGTTACGATCTCAGCACTTAGGGTGTATCATCCGGAAAATCCATCTTACCCTAAAACTCTTTCTACTATAAAATATTGTATCGTAACATTTATTTAATTAGAGTGATTCAGTATTTTTACGGTAATTATTAGAGTAAAATTTACGGTACATCAAATATTTTGCCCCGCAACATGTTACAGTAAAAATGGATTTAACGGTAAAAAGAACCGGCATCTTAAGGATGATACTCGATTATTTTCGGCAGAATTGAAGGATTGCATTATTAAAACCAGGAATAATATTGATGCGACTGCACTTCAAGATTTAGTAAGTAGTATTCCACGTCGTATCAACAACCTCTATATGCAAAGCCAACGTGTGATGATTGTGACGTAGCCCATCTTGTGCTTTCATTTTTTAGTAACTATAAAATATTTTTCTAGAAAATAAAGGTTTTCCTGCAAAAGAAAGTTTTTTTTTGTCGTTTTAAATATTTTGATATATTTTAAGACTCTGAGGTGAAAAATTAGAGAATAAATAGATAAACAAAATATTATTTTTACAGAAAATCTGTATGCAAATAACATGAATCATCCATTAGAAATTTATCATGTATGGCAAATTTAATTGTGATACTAAACTTTGCCCTATAAAACTAATTATTTTATAAAATGTTCATTACGTTTTCAAAGCGAAAGTAAAAAAAAATCCTTCTAAAGAAAAGTAAATTTGTGAGCAAACTAAAAGTTCGCCACTTTGTATTGCAAGGAAAATACAGAAATCGAAAGTTTTGAATGAAAATATTTCGTTGAATTAAAAATATTCAGATGTTAACTCCAGCAATTACAAACATACTTCTTTTGTTACAAATACAAATTCTCAACAATGTATAAAAAGGCAAACTTTAACCCATTGAATAATCATATTTTCTGAGAGAAATATTAGGAAGAATCAAACTCAGATATGACATGACAAATTTACTTTAGCATAATTAAATTCACATTAACTAAATTTGGTAGTAGAAACATTAATAATTTACAAAAAATCAAATATTTAATAAAAATAAAATAAATTTATAATGTCTATCAAAATTCATAGTTAAAATTTGCTACTTCTAAGGAAACAGTTAGGAAAAGACTTAAAGGAAATAAAATTACATAAATCTAATGAAACATTAAAAAACGATACAAATGGCATCGGGAAGTACCAAAAATTTCAATTTCAATACCAATATCATTTAAATAAACCATGAGCATTTATTTAACTAAAATAAAGGATAAATATTTAATTTGTTATAAAAAATTGTTTATTCTAAAAAAGTAATTTAAAGATAAGACAAAATTACAAATCGTGCGCTACTAAATTACTGAAACTATAATAAATCACTAAAATATTTTTAAACAAGAATTAAATTTAAATGAGAACCACAAGCAATGTTTAATATAGTTCTTTTAATTTATGATTAAAACATGTATATTTTATTTAACATAAGACAATTGATTATTTCAAACGTTATTTATTTTCTATTATCCTTTAAAATATTTGAAAATATAGTACAAATGTGTTACTCTTAAAAACACATTATTAATTTAACAATACTTAATAGTTGGAATGATGTAGTATTTTGCTGAAATGTTAACAATTTAGAAGGTATTAGATTATATGCTACTATACATAAATAAATCAAGCACCATCATAAGTCAAGTATAAACAAATCAAGTACTTTTAAGTACAATGGATTGAGAATGAGAACCAACTATAATGTTTATATATTTTTTCCAATTTTTGATTAAAACATATATATTTTATTTATATATATAGCAGGGCGCTTGATTATTTCAAACGTTATTTATTTTTTTAATATTCTGTAAAATATTTGAAAATATAGTACAAATGTGTTTTTCTTAAAACTACATTATCAATTTAACAATAACACTAATATAATAAATAATTTAATAACTAATAAAATAATTTAATAACACTGGATATAAGTCAAATATAAATAAATCAAGTACTTGTATTTTAAATACAAGGGATTGAGAATGAGAACCACAAACAAGGATTAATATAATTTTTCCAATTTATGTTTAAAACACATATATTTTATTTATACACAGGACAATGGATAGTTTCAAACGTTATTTATTTTCTACAAACCTGTAAAATGTTTGAATATATTGTACAAATGTGTTATTCTTAAAAATACATTATTAATTTAACAATACTTAAATATTAGAATGAGTTAGTACTTTGCGGAAATGTCAACAATTAAGAATGTATAAGATTACATTCGATTATGCATAAATAAATCAAGTATCGGATGTAAGTCAAATATAAATAAATCAAGTATTCAAGTTTTAAATACAAGGAATTTGTATTTTTTGAGAAAACTAAAAAAGTTCTGGGAATGTATTCGTTGATTTTAAATACCATTAAAAATTCATCTACAGAAGCACATGATGAGAATATAATTAAACCAACCTTTTCGTAAGTAATTTGAATTTTTAAATAACTTTAAAATAGTTGAGCATGAATGTTGGGTTAAAGAAAATACCGTTAGTTTAAGCATAATCTATGAAAACATTTTGTTTCGGAAAGAATGCACTCTAGTCTTAAAAAGCTTATAATAAAAAAGTAAAAAAGAGAAGATTAAAAAAAGAGCATCTAAGTAATTAGTATCTGAAGTGGTATTTGCTTTGAGGAAGGTATTAAAACTTTAAGTCTTTAAAAGCTTTTTTTTTTAGTTAAAAGATAAAAAAAAAATAGAATCCCCAAACTGAATTTCTTGTAAATGAAGACATTCTCTTCATTTATTGAATATTGAGAGTAGATGTGAAAGTATTTTTAAGATAAAAAATATTTTCATTTTACTTGTTATTTCTGCATTACACACTTTTTTTAAAATTCAAAAATGAGGTGTAATATGATTATGTATTGTTTAATGCGCAATAATAAAATAGAATATATTTTTTTAAATTTTACTTTGTTCAATTTTATTTTACTTCATAGAAAAGAATCTATGAAATAAAGATTGATTCAATTACACTTTGGAACAATTTTTTTGTTGCATTTACACAAGTACTTGATCTTTCCTAATTCGAATGTGAGGATTTCAAATATGAAATTAGTCTTGCTTCTAGAGCTACTGATATTTTTTTAAAATGAACTTTTCATTCTGAATTTTGTCGAGCCTATTTTTTGTCCAAAATTAAAGACTTTATATATTACAGTGGGTCACTTAAATATTGCAACAAACTTCTAGGAGAATTTGGGCACATCATCAGGATTAAAGTTGCATTGAAACCCGTGCATGGAATTGTCTTCGTACGCCACTAAGTGCGCCTTCCTATTATGACTTGATTAGAAGTGCACGAAGAAATAGTTGATATTAGGGAAGCACCCCTAGTGGCGTATGACAACCTCTTGCAAATATGGGCTTCTATGCAATTTTTATCCTGATGATATGTCCTAACTCCCGTTGAAGCTTGTTGCAACATTTATGTGAACCCTTTTATTTTTTATTTTTTTAACTTTTTTTTTTACTAGAAATGCCCTTACTATGCAATGCAGCATTTTTTTCTTTCTGTATGAGTCATTCGATAATCAGAATTTTTTAAGTTTCCAATTCAATTTTCAGCATTTTACACTTGCGCACGTTATACCGTTTCAAAATGAAATTAATGAATAAAACGACTTAGAATGATTTATTACATTCCATCTGGGTTATTCATACAAAAAGATTAAAAAACTACTATCTTAAAATTTTATTAAGTAACTCCTAATAATTTAACTAATATTTTAATTAATTTACAAAACAATCTAACATACATAAATTATAATAAAAACATTTCTTAAACTTTACGCAGCAAAATATTTGTTTGAAGTCAAATTTAATGACATGTTGCTTAAAATTAGCCGACGTCTTACTAGTAAGTAAAATGATCCATAGAGGGCTCTGAAATATATAATAAGACAGCTATTTTCATTTAAATAAAATCAATTGACTGAGCTGATGACAAGTGTTCAGACTTGAAGTTTAAATCTCTATTACAACTTTATAATCACATGTCTGAAAATAGAAAATCTAACGAACAGATTTGAATTTGAATTTTCACAGGGAAATACACACACAGGGGATAGATGGAAATGGAAATATGATTAGCAACTTTAACTATTTTCTGAAGTTGGTGCTGCATTTAAACTAATAAAAATAACTAATTGGGAAAATTGCTTCGCGTTGGGGTAATAATTTACTCAGTTTTATCGATAACTTTAACGGACATTTCTCGATATATTTTTGAACTTTCAGTTTTATAATAT